CGGAGAGCCGTCCTCGGCCGAGGAGGCTGGTAAACGCGAGCGCAGGCGGCAAAGAGGCCTTAACGGCGTCCCTTTTGCCGCCGCCTTCTTTTTGCCGCGCGCCACTGTGCATTTCTCTCCTTTTTCTTTGTTTCTTTGGCCCCTCGCGGGTGTGGGCATTCCTGGTGAGCAAAAGTGCAGCCTCAAGATGGCTGATGGCAACGAGGATATGCGGGCGGACGACTTGCCGGGGCCAGCCTTCGAGAGCTATGAGTCCATGGAGCTCGCCTGCCCCGCCGAGCGCAGCGGCCACGTAGCCGTCAGCGACGGGCGCCACATGTTCGTCTGGGGCGGCTACAAGGTCAGTGAGTGGCCGGGCCGCGGCAGACGTCGCTCGGCTGTGACTTGGGTCTGGGTTCGCGGCCAGGCGGGGAGGCCAGAGCGGCCCGCCAAGGGCGCTCCCCGCCTCCGTCGCGCGCCCCACCTCAGACTCTGCCCGTTGGTTGGTTTTTCTTGCGCGCGGGAATCTTCCTTCTCTCGAGTCCCCCAACCCGTCTCGAACCTCCAGGGCTGCTGGCACGTCAACCTGGTGCTCACAAAGCCAACTCACTCCCACCCCCGTTGTTGCCATTGGAGCGTTATTCCGGGGAAGGCCCTGTTAATGTTGCTTGGGCGGTGCATTCGGAAGGGTTGGGGTGTGTAAGGTGACGGTGTGTGATATCACTCAGACGCGTTATCAGGACGGCCTACGAGGACTTTACCCTCTGGAGCTAGGAACCGCTGCCCACTTAACGGGGAGTCCGAGGTGTAGGAAAACTGGAATTCCAAAAGGTTACAGGAATCACCTTATTCAGCCTTCTCGCCTGTGCAAATGGCCATCATACTATTGTTTGAACCTCTCAGGACTATTTTCCTTCTGGCTTCAGCTGGGTGAAGTTTTTCAGCAGACACCCGTATTAAAGATAATGGAAAAGCTCCACCAGTAACCAAAAAATCCACAGCATCAAATGAACACAGAGTGCAGTTCTTTGACTCTCCGATCCCCTGGTTATAAACAACGTGATTAGTTAGCAGTTTAAAGCCAGTTGCCCTTCTTTACCCTGCTACCTCGGAAATCTAGAATTTTATTTGCTGGGATGGCTCTGATCCAGTCCTACCACAAAATTCCTCTTTGGTCTTGAAAATGTTCTCCGCCCTCCCTATGCCCCATGCCTTGTGATTGCTTTTAGCTTATGGTACAGTTGATTTGATCATAGTTGACCATTTTTGAGACAGCTTTCAAAGATAGCTGTCCTGATACTTTAATTTGGTTTAACTGCAGAAGTAATTTTTTGCCAATCCTAATTAATCTGCAGTGTTTTTCCCAGTCTCCGGTGAATGTGGTTAGAAAATAGAAAGGGGGGCTGGGCGCGGTGGCTCACGCCTCTAATCCTAGCACTTTGGGAGGCCAAGGTAGGTGGATCACCTGAAGTCAGGAGCTGGAGACCAGTCTGGCCAACATGGTGAAACTCCGTCTCTACTAAAAATACAAAAAAAATTAGCCGGGCGTGGTGACAGGCGTCCTAATCCTGGCTACTTGGGAGGCGGAGGTTGCAGTGAGCTGAGACGGCGCCATTGCACTCCAGCCTGGGCAACAAGAAGGAAACTGTCTCAAAAATACTTTAGAAAGGGGTAGTGAATTGCAAGGAGCGGGGCAAGCATGTAGTCACCCTTATAAAAATGTAAATTAATTCCCCTGGAGAAAGCTGTCAATTACACTTCTGTCTAAGCTACCTAATTCATAATTGTATTTTTAAAATGACAGCATGAAAGAATGAGACTTTGGGAGTGGGGCAGGGGAGGATTCTCAATGTGGAGTATTTCTTGTGGTGGATTTAAAAAGGCCTGGATGATTGGGACTGATTCAGGGAGAAGCACACAATCACTGAATTGGATGGTTTTGAAACAGACTGCCCTCCCCATTTATGGCTGGTGGCTGGAACTCTGAGGGTAGGCACAGAAGCCCTTGGAGACTGTTTCAAAGGCAATAAACCTTGGCTTCCTACATAGTAGGCAGTTTTCCTCCCCAGGACAGGCTGGTCACCTCTGGGTCAGCCCACTTCCAGCCTTTCCCTTCATCACCGGTGGGGTGGAAAAAGAAGTCTTTACATGGTCAACTGTTCTGTTTCTGTATGTTTAATATTCAAGCTTGCTGGACTTTGACACCCATTTTTGGCTAGCCGCAGTTGTGTACTGTATCAACATTGTTCGGAAAGTGGCTAGGGAGGGTCAAAGGCAGGGAATGTCAAGGAGTTGTTAAAGTTCAGGGAAAGGATAGAATCCTGGCGCCACCATTACTTCATAAATAACCTTGGGCAAATTACTTAAACTCTAAACTCATTTTCTCATAAAATCAGCTATTTTTTAGGGTTGTTGTAAGGATTACATAAAGCAATCCATGGATAGCTTTCAGCTGCAGCATATGGTAGGCTCAGTCTGTGTTAGGAATTAATACCTGAAGGGAAATGGAGCAGAACAAAGAACTTAAAATTCTGCATGAGAATTTAATATTTTGCATATTTGCAGTTCTGCCCTCTCTGTTGCTGCTTAGAGAATGAATAGGTGAAAGGAAGGCGTGCCTAGAAAACCACGCATCGTGTTTGTGTGGATCAGTGTGGATCAGGCACTTTCAGTAACAGCCTGCTGACGATGGCACAGGTAGTCTCCCGAAGTCTTGCAGCTGAAATTTGATGCATGGTTCTGTTCAGGATAAAGCTGCCTTAGAGAGTTCCCAGAGATCTCTTGGCTGGGCACAATGGCTCACAGCCTGTAATCCCAGCACTTTGGGAGGCTGAGGTGGGTGGATTGCTAGAGGTCGGGAGTTTGAGACCAGCCTGGCCAACATGGTGAAACCCTGTCTCTACTAAAAATACAAAAATTAGCCAGGTGTGATGGCAAGCTATCTGTAGTCCCAGCTGCTCAGGAGCTGAGGCATGAGAATTGCTTGAACCCAGGAGGTGGACGTTGCAGTGAGCCAGCAGAGATCGCGCCACTGCACTCCATCCTGAGCGATAGAGACTTGGATTAAAAAAAAAAAAAGTTCCCAGAGATCTCTTCTTGCCCTATTGTAACTGCTGTATCAAAATTCTGAATTAAGAGCTATCTATATTGAGCTTTACCTTGAGTGTGTGGCATGGGTTGGGGGGAGGATTGTGTACTATAATACCTATTTAACTTTTCATCAAATTAGTATGTCAAGATCGATTTAAAAAATACAGTAGTGCCTCTTTAAAATTAGTTTTTATATTTATAATTTTTTTTTATTTTTAGAGTAATCAAGTCAGAGGATTATATGACTTTTATCTGCCTAGAGAAGAACTATGGATCTACAACATGGAGACTGGAAGATGGTAAATGTGGATATTATAAGGGGGACTAAAAAATTCAGATAAGGGCTGGGCATGGTGGCTGGCTCACGCCTATAATCCCAGCGCTTTGGGAGGCCGACGCGGGCGGATCACTTGAGGTCAGGAGTTCAACACCAGCCTGGGCAACATGGTGAAACCCCATCTCTACTAAAAATACAAAAATTAGCCAGGTGTAGTGACGTGCACATGTAATTGCAGCTACTTGGGAGGCTGAGGTGGGAGAATTGCTTGAACCCGGCAGGCAGAGGTGGCAGTGAGCCAAGATTGCACCACTGCACTCCAGCCTGGGTAACAGAACAAAACTGTCTCCAAAAACAAACAAACAAAAAAATCAGATGTGGCTGCAAAGAAAAAAATGTAAAACCCATTTTAAGCTATTTATATATTCTAAAAACACTGTTCTGCTACTTTAGCTTAGCTGCTAAGCTTAATTTAGCACCTGTTCTGTAGTTACTAGATACTTCTGATAACTTAGAATAAATTTCTATCCCAAGTATCATAGTAATATTTAAAATAGATGTAGAGGCTTCAGATCTAGAATGGAAAGACAATGTTCCATTTTTTTCAAGATACTAAGTCTTCTATCTTGAATAAGGAAAGGATTTTAAATGGTTGTTAGATTTTAGATTGTATAGAATTTTATCTCCTAAAAATAAAGGTGGTATTCTATTTTAATGAGCTCTCAAAATTTGCATGCAAATCTTTTTTTTTTTTTCTTTTTTGAGACAGAATCTAGTTCTGTCGCCCAGGTTGGAGTGCAGTGGCCGGATCTCAGCTCACTGCAAGCTCCGCCTCCCGGGTTTACGCCATTCTCCTGCCTCAGCCTCCCAGGTAGCTGGGACTACAGGCGCCCGCCACCTCGCCCGGCTAGTTTTTTGTATTTTTTAGTAGAGACGGGGTTTCACCGTGTTAGCCAGGATGGTCTCGATCTCCTGACCTCGTGGATCCACCCCTCTCGGCCTCCCAAAGTGCTGGGATTACAGGCGTGAGCCACCGCGCTCGGCGCAAATCTTTTTAAAAATAGTGTTGTTCTGTTTAAAAACCAAAATGACCTCCAGTTTGCCCTTTTTGAAAACTGGAGATAATCTGAAATGATCTTTTGCCAGTTTCATAGTAGTAGTAGTCAAGAGCATGTCCCTGGTAGAATTTAGGTGTTTCTCAAAATGCTGGGTTAGCCATGGTTGGGGATTTACAAAGTAGTTTTCCCCATGGTGTGCTTTGTGAGAACTTTGTGCTTTAAATATTTTACTTACTGGTAGATCTCAAAATTACCATGGTAGTCCCACTTAAGAGGCGGGATGCTGTGGCTCATGCCTGTAATCCCAGCACTTTGGGAGGCTGAGGCAGGCAGATCACCTTAGGTCAGGAGTTCAAGACCAGCCTGGCCAACATGGTGAAACCCCGTCTCTACAAAAATTAGCCAGGCATGATGGCAGGTGCCTGTAATTCCAGCTACTAGGGAGGCTGAGGCAGGAGAATCACTTGAACCCGGGAGGCAGAGGCTGCAGTGAGCCAAGATCATGCCATTGTACTCCAGCCTGGCTGATACAGTGAGACTCCATCTCAAAAAACAAAAAAGTTTAAGATTTACAAACTAGGCCGGGCACGGTGGCTCATGCCTGTAATCCCAGCACTTTGGGAGGCTAAGGCAGGTGGATCACGAGGTCAGGAGATCAAGACCATCCTGGCGAACACTGAAACCCCGTCTCAACTAAAAATACGAAAAAATTAGCTGGGCGTGGTGGTGGGCGCCTGTAGTCCCAGCTACTCGGGAGGCTGAGGCAGGAGAATGGCATGAACCCAGGGGGTGGAACTTGCAGTGAGCGGAGATAGTGCCACTGCACTCCAGCCTGGGTGACAAAAAGACTCCATCTCAAAAAAAAAAAAAAAAAGTTACAAACTACAAATAAGTCATGAGTATTTCTGTATATAACAAATTGGTGTTAATATGAAGCTGTTTCTTAATCCTTTTCTAGAGAATTGGGAATTTATAATTCTCTTAAAAGCGGAATGCTACATATTTTAAAAAATAATTTTTAAGGCCAAGTGTGGTGGCTCACACCTGTAATCCTAGCACTTTGGGAGGCTGAGGTGGGAGGATCACTTGAGCCCAGGAGTTCAAGACCAGCATGAGCAGAACAGTGAGACCCTGTTTCTATTTAAAATTAACAACTTTTTTTTTTTTTTTTTTTTGAGAGGGAGTCTCGCTCTGTCTGTCGCCCAGGCTGTAGTGCAGTGGCGCAATCTCCGCCTCCTGGGTTCACACCATTCTCCTGCCTCAGCTTCCCTAGTAGCTGGGACTACAGGCATGTGCCACAACGCCCGGCTAATTTTTTGTATTTTTAGTAGAGATGGGGTTTCACCATGTTAACCAGAATAGTCTCGGTTTCTTGACCTTGTGATCCACCTGCCTCGGCCTCCCAAAGTCCTGCGATAACAGGCTTGAGCCACTGTGCCCAGCCAAAAATAGTAACTTTTTAAAAAGTGAGCCTTCTAAAACTTTAAGTTTAGCAAAGATAAATATTATTATATCTGACAGTTTTAGCAGAAGACCTTGAGTATACTGTTAGAATTTTAAATATTAGATTCCTTAGGTTGATTCAGATCAATTTTTAGATTCAGAATGAGTTAATACATACAAAGCACTCAGGAATGCCTGGCACATGGCACTACCTGTTTGTAGTGTTACATAAAGGACTGAATCTGATGCATATGAACAGCTAAAAGGTGACTGAAGAAAAAACACTGAATTAATCTATCAGGACTGGGAATGTTGAGGTTTTCCTTCTGGGCTCCTGGCCCACTCAAAAACAAAACAACTTATGGCCATGTAAATAAATAGCAAATAATTTAGTCTGAGAAACATAAAATGGTATGCTCCTAGAATAGTAAAATACGAGTTAGGCTTTCAGAATCTCTCATTATGCCTGTACAATGGGGCCAGCTGGCACTGTCTGTGGAATAGGTAAAGAGGGAAAAACACATTCCTTGAACTAAGTTTAGACCTAGAAGAGACCCTAGAGGCACTGTCTACTCTGCCTTCTCGTTTTATTCCTTTATTGTGAGGATATAAGTAGAAGAAAAATAGACTTCTGCATTTTTTCCCTTTAACTTACATACATTTAATTTATTCCCCCTTAGGAAAAAAATCAACACTGAAGGTGATGTTCCTCCTTCTATGTCAGGAAGCTGTGCTGTGTGTGTAGACAGGGTGCTGTACTTGTTTGGAGGACACCATTCAAGAGGCAATACCAATAAGGTTAGTGTTTCCAAGGATTATGGCTGGAGGCATTTTTATTCTTACTATCTTTCAAACAACTGCAAATTTCTAAGGTTAGCCCAAGACTTATTTGTGTCCCAGTTAAAAATGATTTGTACTTGATTATGATATGAATGTGCATTTTAGTATTTTGTTTGTCAATCTATATTTACCTAGGCATTATGTAAAATCAACTTTTGCTGGTAACTTGTGTGCAGTAACTTCCTGAGTGGTTTTCCTTTGTGCTTTTTGCAGCTACTTGTTCTCTTAGAACCCTTAAATGTTAGATGAACATTAGTAATAAAATTGCAGACAAAATAAAGACAAGATGTAATGGAGGGAAGGGTAAAAATGAGCAGGCCAACCAGTCAGAAAGCCATAAGGATAAATTAAAACTGACAAAACTACATGTTAACATTCCTATAAAGTGGTGCCAAAGATACTGCTGTTCAGACTTTGCCGTATTTTGTTCCAAGTAGGAAAAAGACATCACTTCTTCTCTTTCAGACCAATAAGAGACAGATTAAGTCAATCAGAAATGATACATATGCCATGTATTAGTGCTTATTGAGTTGCCAGATAAATGAATCGATAGGAGTCTACTAAGTTGGCAACTTAGTAAGCACTTTATATGCTGAGCACTTGACTGGACACTGGAGACAGAAGAATGATACAGTTCTCACCTCTTGGAACTCATTCTAGAAGGGACACATATAGTAAGTAAATCACTGCAGTAGCATCTGCTAGAGAGATACACAGCACCTGGCATATAGAAAATAACTCAGTAAGTATTGTTGAATCTGAAAAAGTCTTTGACATTGTGTTTGGTGGGATGAGGGAACAGAACAAGAAAAATCTTGACCGAAGAGGTGATGCTTGAACTGAATAATAAAACTGGAAGGAGTAGCCAAGATAAAGAGATATAAGCAAATGCCTTTTTTGGGGGTGGGGCGGGGTGGGGACAGAGTCTTGCTCTGTCGCCCAGGCTGGAATGCAGTGGCACAATCTTGGCTCACTGCAACCTCCGCCTCCCAGGTTCAAGTGATTCTCGTACCTCAGCCTCCTGAGTAGCTGGGATTACCAGCATGCATCACCATGCCCGGCTAATTTTTTTGTATTGTTAGTAGAGACAGGGTTTCACCATGCTAGCTAGGCTGGTATTGAACTCCTGACCTCAGGTGATCCACCTGCTTCGGCCTCACAAAGTGCTGGGATTACAGACGTGAGCCACCGCGCCCAGCAGCAAATGTCTTAATTATGGAAATTCCAAGTGGATGGAACATGTGGCTGAGATGGTTTCAAACTATATTCCTAGAAACTTTAGGGATTTCAGATGCCTTGGGACACCTGTGGGAGGAGCATATGGTGTTAGGTAGGCTCCAAGCTGCCCCTTCCTCCTCCGTTTTAACATGTGTAGCTCCACTTTTGTTTGTATACATTGGGCTTTTGCTTTGTATTTTGCTTGAAGAAAGAGTTCTATGCCTGAAAGATTGTGAGGCACATCTATAGGCTATCATTGAGCCATATATATTTCAGAGCCAAGGGGGAGAACAATAACTGACACAACTTAAAAGCTTGGGACAAGCTGTGGTTTTATGGACAAGGTTTTATGGACAAGGAGACAAGCTGTGGTTTTATGGAGGTAGTTACAGAAACAATGGTAGTATGTCGAGTGGCTAGGGCTGTGTGTTTTAAGTTTGACTCAGTGGAAGCTTGAGTGTCTCAGAGAAGAAATACATATATTGTGGTCAGATATATTCAGTTGCCTGGATGTGAACCCTTTAAAGGAAAGATCCTTAATTAATTTAAGCTAATTAATTTAAGTATTGATCCTTAATCTCTTTAATCTTAAAGATTAACTCAATTAACTCTTTAATCTTAAAGAGAGAGGCACCGAGTACACATTTGTTAAATTGAATTTAAAGGTAAAATTACTAAACCTAATTTTTTTTGGGTAATACCATTCTGATACCCATAAATTAAATAACTACAATTCAGAGTCCCTATATCAGGGCCAGGTGTGGTGGCTTATGCTTACAATCCAGCACTTTGGGAGGCCCAAGTGGGCACATCACTTGAGGCCAGGAGTTTGAGACCAGCCTGGCCAACATGACAAAAACCTGTCTCTACTAAAAATACAAAAATTAGCTGGGCATGTTGGTGCATGCCTGTAATGCCAGCTACAGGAGGCAGAAATTGCAGTGAGCCGAGATCATGCCACTGCACTCCAGCCTGGGTGACAGAGCGAGATTCTGTCCCCACCAAAAAAAATAATAATAAAATAAATATGGCTATCAGCACAGTTTTGCAATTGCAAAAATATGGAACCAGCCCAATGCCCACCAATCAACAAGTGGATAAAGAAAATGTAGTGCATACATATACCAGGGAATACTACTCTGCCATAAAAAGGAACAAAATAATGGCATTGGCAGCAACCTAGATGGAAATGGAGACCGTTATTCTAAGTGAAGTAACTCAGGAATGGAAAACCAAACACAGTATGTTCTCAGTCGTAAGTGGGAGCTAAGCTATGAGGATGCAAAGGCATAAGAATGATACAATGGACTTTGGAGACTCAGAGGGAAAGGGTGATAGGTGGATGAGGGATAAAAGACTACACATTGGGTACAGTGTACACTGCTTGGGTGATGAGTGCACCAAAATCGCAGAAATCACCACGAAAGACCTTATCCATGTAACCAAACACCACCTGTTCCCCAAAAACCTACTGAGATAAAAAATAAAAAAATAAAAATGGGAAAAGAAATATATGGCTGTCTTAGCCAGGTATGGTGGTCCATGCCTGTGGTCCATCTACTTGGGAAGCTAAGGTGGGAAGATAACTAAGCCCAGGAGTTGAGATTATAGTAATCTATGATTGTGCCACTGCACTCCAGCCTGGGCAAGAGAGACCCTGTCTCTTAAAAAAAAATAAAGTGCGGCTATGAAAGAAAAATTAGTCGAGCTAACTGTGTGCTTAGTGACTTAGTAGATTGGTGTTCAGTCAGAGTCCTAATCTGGACTCTGAGCAGTCTGGCAGCCAGTCTGCAGTCACAATTCCAGTAGCACTGAATTAGGTGGTACTCTTATCATAAATCATAGTAAAATTAAATGCTAAACTTGAATTTCTTTCATATAACCAATTCTAACGGAAACCATTGCTTCTGACAGTTCTACATGCTGGATTCAAGGTCTACAGACAGAGTGTTACAGTGGGAAAGAATTGATTGCCAAGGAATTCCTCCATCATCAAAGGACAAACTTGGAGTCTGGGTATATAAAAACAAGTGAGTTGGTGGCATTACAGGTTTGGGTTTTTATGTGTAAAGTGCTTTACCATTCAAGTATCCTTAACCAGTGACCATTTGCACAGAACATACCTCATAGGGCCCATATGAAGATTAACTGAGTAAATACATGAAAGCATTTAACACAGCACTTAAGATAAAGTGCTCGTATCCTATCCTACGGGTATTTGAATTTTTAGTGTCTTGGTTTTTCATCAAACAGGTTAATATTTTTTGGAGGGTATGGATATTTGCCTGAAGATAAAGTATTGGGAACTTTTGAATTTGATGAAACATCTTTTTGGGTAAGTGAAGTTCTGTATTTGCATATGGCCTCCTTAGTATATTGAAGTAATACATTTTATGTTTGCTAATAAGTTTTGTGCACTTTTCTTTGGTAATCAGGCAGGCCATCTAATTTTATAAATATTTGTAAAATAACTCAGATTCTTATTTTCTGTAGAATTCAAGTCATCCAAGAGGATGGAATGATCATGTACATATTTTAGATACTGAAACATTTACCTGGAGCCAGCCTATAACTACTGTGAGTTACTAAAAAATAAAACGGGGAGGGTTGGGGTGCGGAGAGAGGTATACCAGAGTTGGAAGATACTGTAAAAGTGACAGTTCATTCTTGTTTTCTGGGGATAAGATCCATAACTTTAATGACTTCCAAGGAATCTAGAACACAGAAGTTTAATGAATGTATGAAATGACTAACCCAGCATCTATTATTTAATACTTTTTTTTTGAGACAGTTTTACACTGTTGCCTGGGCTGAAGTGCAGTGGCGGGATCTCCGCTCACTGCAACGTCTGCCTCCCGGGTTCAAGCAATTCTCCTGCCTCAGCTTCCTGAGTACCTGAGATTACAGGCGCCCGCCACCAGGCCCAGCTAATTTT